GGAGTTGACAAGTCCAGTATTGAAGACTTTCTTTTTATCTGCTCCTCCTGCTGTCTTATTAGTTAAGAATGGATTGTTGCTGTTTTAAATTTTTTTTTCCTGTTCCTTTTTGCTCTTCCACTTCAAAAGTTGCTGGGGATATAGCTCAGTGGCATAAATGCCTGCCTGGCAAGCACAAGGTCCTGAGTTTGATTCCCAGTACCAAAAAAAAACAAAAGACGTGATACTTCAGAAGTGTAAGGTACGAGATCCCCTCTTTGGCAGAAGTTCCATATCACTTTCTACATACCCATCAACAGAAGATCAAATGGAAAACAAGGGAAATCTAGGATAAAAATAATGACCAAGTTCCCTTGCTTCTTAAAACCAATGATCCACCTTTAAACAAAGTCACCTTTGTTTTCCAGTATTCCTTTTCCTCATATTATTTTTTTGTAATTGCATGTTCCCATCAAAAAATCACAAAAGAAGAGCACTCCCTGTGATGAGAGAATTAGGTACTTGGAGCCTTAACTTTCTTCCCTCTTCCTTTCTCTATGTAGAATTACCTATTAGCAAAACTCTACAACTGTTTTACACTCAGTATTATGAGAAAAAAACAGAAAATCATGTCCTTGCAATAGGAAAATATACTAAGAAACACAAAGCAGAATATTTGATGTTGACTTTATATGACTCAGATGGAAAATGGCTCATTCAAAAAAATAGAACAAATGCAAAACTGTATTTCACAATGTGCTCCTTAAAAACTTGCTCACTAATAATGGCTAAAAGTAATTAAACTATATATTAAGCAAGAAATATTCAAATATATGTTAATCTATAGTTAACACAAGCTCATGACTGCAGCTTCTCTAGTCCCAAAGCTGGGTAAACCCATACCATTTATCCACATAGACTTGAATGGAATTATATCCTCTAAGTAAGCAGTATGACTTTTGCCTTTGGAAAATTCTTCATTCTCTCAAATTTTGTGTTTTTTAAAGCATAAACTTGAAGTTGCTTTGGATAATTTCTTTAACAGCTCTTCCAGCTCTAACTAAGTGTGTTTGACTCTCAACGAGTTGCTATTTTTTATATTTCACCTAGCTTAATTTCCTATTTATATGCTGAATGATAATAGAGTTCTGCCCCAAAATAATAGTGACTATTCTAATGTGGTGTCCTAGTAATTTACTCTAAATTTAATTTAGAAGGTATTTCCTAAGTGATGAACATATGGCATTCAGGTGTATCTTTAACTTTTAAGGACCTTTTAAATTTCATCCATATCTAAATAGTAGAAGTAAGTAAGGCCAATTTATAGGAAGAAAGGGCCTCCTGATGTTTTCATCAAGTACTTGGTCTTAGCAGGATCCTATGTTACAATAGGACACTACTAGCAACTAAGACAGTCTCCTGGTATACCTGTAGATACTACTAACAAAGCCCAGCGCAACTTATTTCCATGTGGTAAGTTAATTGCTCCTGAAGGGTGAAGCAAAAGTAATGTCAGCCCCCGTGTATCCTACCCTTTGGGACTCCAGAAGGAAGAAGTTGCTTACCAGAAAGTAAGACTCCAGAGGCCAAAGCTAACAGCTTCTCAAAAGCTATAAAGGGAAGAGATGAGTCAGTCACCTTATGAATAAGGCAAGAAAGGGCATGTCAAAGGAGGAAACCACACCTGCTGAGCTCCAATATGTGTCTCCATAAGGAACTACAAAGAGCAAAAGCCAAGGCAAGCAGCAGGCCATGGCCTCTCAGCAGTTTCACATCCAAGCAGTAGTCACCAGCAGAGAAGGCTCCAAAAGGGAGGTAGGAGCGCAGTAATGAAAATGCCTCTGAGATATATATTTATTAAATGTTAAAGATGCTGAGAACATAGGAGCAGCTGCAGTCCCATAATGGCATTATTTCAGAGACAAAGGAAATCTTTTAATTCTGCTTGCCTAAAGCCAATATATGTCTTGAAGTTTTCTGACCCAGATGAGTTTCAGGGTCACACTGGGTTTAAGAAGACCAGATGCAGTTATTTCTACTATACTTTTACCCAAGGCTTCTTCATGTAGAAATTTCTTCCCATTACATAGGTCAATATATCATATCTTGACAGTATAAGATGATACTAGCTAAAATGCACACACTGAATTCTTGCATCAGTTTTAGTTGGTAACGGGTAAACCAGGGGTATTTTTCTGCCTTTCCAGGTAAAAAGATTATTTCTCTGTAAAAAGAATAATAAATTATAAGAATGAATGAGAAGTAATAAAGCAAGGCAGCAGGAAGACAAGAGAAAAAGATATTATGATATAGAAGAGAATTGGAAGAAAAGGAAAATTGATTTTCTTTTTGTAGAGAACAAAATTTAACTTGCAAACTGGTTTATATTCAAGAGAGGTTGGCATTTCTTTTTGGTGATATTCTACACTGAAACTGAGAGTAAAATTTTAAGATTTGAGAACTCAGGTTATACATCCTAATTGGTATTATCCTGGATTCAATATCCAGATAATAAAACAATCCACACAGAGAAAATGTGTTTGATCAATATTATTCTAGAGTCTTTCTGTGAAAGGTATACAACAAATTCAAGATGAAAAGAAAAACTGAGAAAATCCTTGTAAGCACTCATGGTCTAATTGGGAAAATCAAACACATGCAGATAAATGGCAACCTGGTTGTAGTAAGTATGTCACAGAAATATGAATGAGGTATTATGGAGGATATTAAGAATGAGTGAGTGGTCATTTGCAGGGGAAAAGAAACAATGCTTTGCTGAGTAAGTAACATCTGATTAGCAGAAATTTTCCAAACCTCACAGGAACAAGGTCATTCCATATAAGGAAATAGAGGGAAGTGTTTGGGTAGAGCCCAATTTGTTGAACAAAGTGCTGAGAGGAGACTAGGACACAGGTCAACACTAGATTCCGAGCACCAGTACTCTTCCCCATGGACAATGCTGCACCCTTACCACACGATAATCAAGGAAGGATCTGGAAAATGCCCAAAAATTACTTCAGATGTGTTTAGAATAGATTTTACAGCTGCATTTTGAGAGATTGTCTACTTCCTGGGCAATTTAAACCCCTTCTTAGAGGGAACAACTGTTTTTTCTACCACGGACTCACCTAGGGTTTGCACAGAAAATCCTAAATCCCAGAAATAAGTCAAAGCCTAACAAATATACCACTGAGAAGAGCAGTCTCTGTGGCACTAAAGAAGACTGAGAGAGAGAGAGGACAAGCACATGGTGATCCACGGTGTAGAAGGGGCAAGAAAGGAGCCATTTCCTAGACCAGTAGGCAACCAGTTGAAGTGCTGCTTCATATTACATCCTCTGAAGCCTTCCGAATGAAGCCTTCCCAGGTTGCCCCTGGGCCTTTGTGAAGGTGAAACTGGATGTTTGCTTTCAGTTTGTAAGCAGAGCATTAGAGCAAATATGGGTGGAAGGAAATTGATTCTAGAAAGAACAGAGAGTAGGGTGATTCCCTTTGAGGGCTCACATGGCACCTCCCTTCCTTAGTGAGCTTGACACCCCTCAACCACTTCCTTGATTCCTTGCTTTCACTGTAGCTGTTGTCATTCCCCAGCAGTCCTGGAGAAAATGCTCTTTGTGATGCTGGAAGCCACAGGACTGTGTCAGGCCTGAGGCACTTGTAGAAATACTGAACTGGCCTGACTACATAGGACTATGGTACATAGTTGATGGAAAATAGACGTCAATACTTATTAAGTGCTGTTGTGAATTATGGGAATGAGTTTATTTAATTCTTACACAATCTCAAGAAGTAGTCATTGCTGTTGTACTCACTTAAAATTGTAGATACAGGGAAGAAACAAAGGTGAATTAGTATTTCCAGGTACAAATGAAAGGGATAATGTCTTTTAGTTCAGTGAGACTTTAGAAACCATGATCTTAAGATCTTACTTATGATGTCCAACCATATGGACTGAGATGGACGGATGAATGGATGGATGGATGGATGGAAGGGTGCGTGGGTGGGTGGGTGGACGGACTGATGGATGGATGGATGGATGGATGGATGGATGAATGGATCAATCAACTCCACTTATTCAGAAGAGAGAATATCAGTGCCCTGGAGCTAGGATCTTGCACTGCTTCACTTTCATGAAAGATTTTAAATAGCACGTGCATTTCTTACATAATGATTTTTAAAATGAATATTTCCAACTAAATCTTAAGAGTTTTTTAATATATTAGGTTCAACTTATATTCCACACAATTTTTAATTGTGCACATTTAGATTATTAAATATAATTCCGACTCATGTGTTCTTAGAAAATACATAAAACATAAACTAATTCTCTTTTATGCAGATCATAGGTCAAACTGAAGAAAAACAAAAGAACAGATATTTTGTTAATTGATTCAGTAGTGTGATTACCCTTCTTCCTGACTTGAAAATCTTCATATGTGGTTTTTCTTCACTCTCTTGAATTAGATACGGTAATTGGTCCTCATCTATAGGAGATGGGTTCCAAAATCTTGAGTGGATGCTACCAAACCCTACATATGTAATGCTTTTTCTTATGCTGGCATATCTGTTAAAGTTTAATTTCTAAATTAGGCATAGTAAAAGATTAGCAGGAATAATAAGATACAATAATTATAACAATATTATTATACCAATAATAAGATACAATAATTATAAGAATATGTTTTAATAAAAGTTCTGTGAATGTGGTCTTTCTTTCTTGAAAGAATCAGAACAAATAATAATGTCAGGTCTCAGCTGACTAAAAAAAAAAAATGAAGCTATGAATAAGGAGAGACTCCTGTACACTTAGTTATTAATTTTAACCTCAGAGAAAAGGATTATCCATTGGAACCAAGCAAGATCTCAGAATCAATAATTGGGGAACTGGGTAAAAAATAGACAAAAAAGAGCAAGGAAGCCACAGTGAGCGCAAAACAGAGATCTTCTTCCCATATTTGAGAATGACAGATGAACTGTGCCTCACGATTCTGTATGAGTATGAAGCTTGTCTTTCCACTACTTTCTCTGGCAGATGTGAACAGCAAGGAAATGCAAAGTGGAAACCAGACTTCTGTGTCTCACTTCATTTTGGTGGGCCTGCACCACCTGCCACAGCTAGGGATACCACTCTTCCTAGCTTTTCTCGTCATCTATGTCCTCACTGTGTCTGGCAATGGGCTCATCATCCTCACCGTCTTGCTGGACACCCGGCTCCACCGCCCCATGTACTGGTTCCTATGTCATCTCTCCTTCCTGGACATGACCATTTCCTCTGCCATTGTCCCAAAGATGCTGGCTGGCTTTCTCTTGGATAGTAAGGTTATCTCTTTTGGGGGCTGTGTAATCCAACTTTTTTCTTTCCATTTCCTGGGCTGCACTGAATGCTTTCTTTACACACTCATGGCTTATGACCGGTTCCTGGCCATCTGTAAGCCTTTGCACTATGCTACCATCATGACCCACAGCGTCTGTAACTACCTGGCTTTGGGAACCTGGCTGGGAGGGACCATCCACTCACTTTTCCAAACAAGTTTCATATTCCGGTTACCCTTCTGTGGCCCAAACCGAGTTGACTACTTCTTCTGTGATATTCCAGCTGTCCTCCGACTAGCCTGTGCAGACACCACCATCAACGAGCTGGTCACATTTGTGGACATCGGCTTCCTTGCCCTCACCTGCTTTATGCTCATCCTTACTTCCTACGGCTACATTGTGGCTGCCATCTTGCGAATCCAGTCAGTGGATGGGCGCCGCAATGCCTTCTCCACCTGTGCCGCCCACCTCACTGTTGTCATTGTGTACTATGTGCCCTGCACCTTCATTTACCTGCGGCCTGGTTCCCAGGAGCCTCTGGATGGAGTGGTAGCTGTTTTCTATACAGTCATCACTCCTTTGCTTAACCCCATCATCTACACACTCCGAAACAAAGAGATGAAGGCAGCCTTGCGGAGGCTGGGAGCCCTCAAGAAATTACAGCCTCACTGACTTCACCCAGCACAGAGACACTGTGGGCACAGAAATGCAAGGAAGTGGGTGGACACTAAATAATTAGGAGATTTCAAGGCAGAAAAAGAAAGACTGATTCATGCAGAGGATAAAGGTCTCCTAGATAGAGCATTAGGAACCTGGAAATTGTCATGTTAACAGTTCTCAGAATATGATTTTCTGTATTTCTCCCTTCAGTCTCGTTGGTAATCAAACAAAGCCATTTAGCAGAGGCATCACCTTGAACAAAAGATACAATATAAATAAAACTTCCACATAAAAGCTATTTCTCTGTGCAATCCATTGAGATGCATATTATTGCTTCTCATCTTTGGTATTGACACAGATAACCTTCATACAAACTGATTTGACCTTGATGAAAATTATATGAGGTACGTATTTTATTATTCCCATGTAGCTATGGGGAGATTAAAATTTAAGGAAGTAAAGAATTTTCCAAACCCCTGTCTCTCTCTCTTTTACTTTGACAAAGATAGGAGACGACCTTGGACTTGAACTTAATGGAGTAATTCTGCTGTAGTGGGAGCTATCACATGTGCATTGTGCCATGACCTTAGTTAGTCTAAACTTCTGAGCTTTTCCTGGGCCCCACATTAGTAGAATTAAAGTATGTTTGTCATGAATACACTTCTTTGCCTTGCAGACATAAATCGAATCTCTCTGATCCTCCATGGGTGTTAAGCAAGTAGATCATCTGAGATAGTACACAAGCATATATATTGCCACAGCTCTCAGGTTATTCCAAGGCATTTGGGTCTCAATGTGGGATGAGGCGGATGGGGACATACTTGGATGCAAGAAGACAATCAGTGACCTGAAGTCCATACTAGTGGTCTCTTTTATAAGAATGTTACCACCATCAAAGTGGGGGGTACTTTATTCTCAAGATGCCCTCAATGTTAAAGATGAGGGCTTTGTTGATGTTCAAAAAGTATATCAGCCAATGCTGGCCAAGAGGATCACTATATTCCATAGACACTAATCTACTCTCACCCAAGTTAATGGAAGAATTGTGATTGCTATGTAACAGGAACTTTCTTAGAAAATGTTTGCTCAAGGAGTTTCCTTGCTGTTTCTTGTAAAAGAGTGTGAGGTTAAAAATCAAAATATGCATGAATTGGCAATTCCATTCAACTCCCCTCAAACATATGCAGTAAAATTATAAATCAGTGATGTTGTTTACATCAAATAAGTTTCTAATCTTACAAGAAGAAAATGAATTTATAAATGAAGCAGAAATATGAAATATATGCCAAAAAAATGAGTAACAATTTATAAAATTGATCAGGAAAAGAAAAGAGAAAGAAATCATTAGGCCTGGAATTTATAAAACTTACTTCCTGAAAAGATAAGACAATGTGTGCCTGCAAAGGTTTCATAACACCCAGTGAGTCAGAGCAGAGAGTTACATAGCATTTTTCATAAGATGAGAAGAGTATAAACCTCCTACAGATACACCTAGGAGAATGCTCTAGAGAAACCTAATTATCCATCCTAGGAAGAGCTCCCCAAGACAGTGAGACATTCACTGGCAAACATATGAAATTTCAGTCCTATGTGCACCTAAATACTCTGTGGAACAAAGGGAGGCAAAACATAGCTAATAAGGCCCATGGGCCCAGAACAGAACTAGTGGAAGCCAAGTTAAAGCAAACACAAGGACCTTTCCCTTCATCAGAGCCACAAACAAGTCACACCCAAAAATGAGGAGTTGCTACGAAAATTCTTAATTGGTTGCTTTAATGGAGAAATGTAAAACATCTCTGTCTCTGTCTCTGTCTCTGTCTCTGTCTCTGTCTCTCTCTCTCTCTCTCCCTCAGCACTGGGAATAAAACCCAGGAGACCCTACTGAGCTATATCCCATCCTTTTTTATTTTTAGCTTATCTATTTAGATAGGAACATCCTCAGTTTCCATTCTGTCATCACAGGCATGTGCCACCAGCCTGGGTTCATTATTTTTTATTAAATGTATTGGTGCATTTTAGATATACATAATGATCATAATATTCAACATAGGGAATTTGTACCCATACAAGATATATTGATTCCCCTTTTTTTCCCAATCCTTTCTCCACCCTTCAACACATCTTCCCCTCCCTGCTTACAAAGTTTTGTTTCCATTTGTTCCTCTTTTTAATCTTTTTTTCCTTTTCCCTTCCTTCCTTTCTCCTTTCCCCCAACCTGGTACCTCTTTTCTTTTGAAAAATTTTTTCCCATTTCACAATCTATTGTATATTTTGGTCCTTATTTACTCTTTCAGTTTCTCACATAAGGGAAACAATACTATATTCACACATATGAGTCTGATTTATTTCACTTAAGAGTAGTGTCTCATTTGCATCCATTTATCTAGAAATGCCTCAAATTTATCCTTCTTTATGGCAGAGTAGTTATATAAAAAAACACATTATATAAAAAAACACATCTTTTTTATCCATTCCTCAATTGATAGACATTTGAGGTGATTCCAAGACTTAGCTATTACAAGTTGTGTTGTTATAAACATGTGTGCACTCTGATAAAATGTTTTTGTTTTTGTTTTTTTGTGGTACCAGGGATTGAACTCAAGACCTTGAGCTTGCCAGGCAGGCACTTATGCCACTGAGCTATATCCTCAGCCCTGATAAAATGCTTTTAATTCTTCCAGGAAGATACACAGAAGGTGAATAGCTGGGTCAAATGGAACTTGTAATCCTAGGTTTTTTAGGGATCTACACAGTGGTTGCATTGGTCTCCACTCTCATCAGCAGTGGAGAAGTGGTACTTTTCCCCACAGCCCCTCAAGCATGTATTATTGATTGATTTCTTGGTGATAGCCATTCCTTCTGGAGTGAGATGGATCTCAGCATTGTCTTAATTTGCATCTCTCTAATAAACACTAAGCAACAAATTTTACCTTATTATCCACCCACTAGCACGTGAATTGATCTCTGAGTCCAGAATTTGAATTCTCCATGAAAAAGAACTCCATAGAGCAGTACTTTGTATGCAACTTTACCTCTTTACAGAATTTTCTGCCTTCAAATTTGTTTTGAGCTCACCTAACCTTAAATATATGAAAAATAAGTAAAAGAGAAAAAAGTAGTGTTAGTCTGTGTGTCTATTTCTCCATTGTACTACCATTTAAAGTTTAATGTTTTGCTTCTATTTGACTCTTTGACTTCATATATTACAGTTTGCTTACCTATGACATGTGATCAAAATATATAGTCAATGTTTAGATTTACAGTTCTTAAAGTCCTCTTTCTTGAGCATGTTTATTGAGCTGATGTGGGTTCCTTTAGATGGGTTGGTCAGATTACAGCAACCTTTCCTTTAGACCTACTCAAGACATTAACCTTTAAGGATTTTAATGCTCCTGGTGTTATGGTACGTTACAACCTAGGAACTACCTCTAAATTTGGACAATCTTGGGATTTACTTCATTTCCCTTCTTTGAATCATACCACAGTACTGAACTTTTCTCCAGTGGATAAAAAGAGTTAATTTGCTTAGTTTCTACATTTTTCTAATAGCAGGTTGCATCTTTTACCAATTAATTTTTATGAGCAAATTCAGAAGTTGTAAATTGATATTTGAATGTTGGAATAAAAAGGAGAAAATGTGAAATAAATCTATAACTGTACTATTGCCAAGATTTTATGTTAAAGGAACAATAATTCTTCATGAAGAAAAAACTAACTCACTGAACTTGCGAATAGTTCGTTCAAATAATGTGGTTTGAGAGATACAATAATAAAGGAATAGAAATTAAACAAAAATTTTGACTGTTTGATTAAATGACTGAAAACAATACTCCATGAGATTAAATTCCAGTATTCCCTGCCCTATCACCTCAATGCCAGACTTCTTCCTTCAGAGTTTTCTTTCATTCAGTGTTAAGCAATCAACCTGCAACACAGAGATCTAAGTCCCAATAACTCTACCTTTAGACTTTAGACTTCATATAATCTTTGGATCTTAATATTTATCTTTCACATTAAAGTTACTTCATTAAACATTTTCATCATTCTTTATGTACATTATAAACATATGTTGACAGATTTATATTTACCATTGAATTCTTTTTTGTTCATAAAGACAAGGAATATTTATATCATCTTTAAAAGTGTAATGCAGAAAAAAAGTTTCTCTTTTTTTGTTTGTTTTTTACTTTCTGAAACAGAATTTCACTATAGCTCATAAATACCACTATGTAGCCTGGGCTCATCTCTGTCATATTCCTCATTGAGTATGATATTCCTAGAATGATTGTACTAGTTAAATACCTTGTCATGGTTCTCATATGTTTTCTTAATTTTTTTGTGGTGCTAGGGCCTCATTCATGCTAAGTGCTTTACCAATGACCTATATCCCCAGCCCTTCTCATGCTTTTAAAATTTTCTTTCTACTACTTTTACTAAAATATTTTTATAATGACTTCATTATTATATAATACGTTTTAATTTATTGGATATTTTCTCCTCCCATTTGTTTTTAAATGGTCAATTACAATAATTTTCATGTTAAGATATCTGCTCACTACATGTAAACATAGTTTCATATTATCACATGTGTTTGCTCTTATTATGTGCATCTACAGTGATAAAGATATTAATCTATAATTTTGTGTCTTGGAATTGATGTCAAAGTTATTTTAAAAAGCCTCCAGCCAAATGACCAAATCCTTAACAAAGGGAAAAGAATTAGATGAAGCATCCCACTTATAAAACAAGCATATAAAGTGGTCAATATGGGCTGGGGATTTAGCTCAGCGGCACAGCGCCTGCTTGGCAAGCACAAGGCCGTGAGTTCAGTTCCCGGTACCGGAAACCACCCCAGCCCCCACCCCACCCCCCCGAAAAAGCCGCTTACATGCAGCCTATTCTCTGAGTAGCACAACAAAAACTATGGGCGGTGCGTAGCACTTAGGGGCTGGGGATTTAGCTCACCGGCAAAGCGCCTGCCTGGCAAGCGCAAGGTGGTGAGTTCGGTTCCC